AAATTTGACTTAAGGACAGACCTTGGGAACGGAACTCGTTCTCAAACTGGGGACTGCATGTATTTTGATTCACCATAAGACGTGCTTTTCCATTTCATGCACACTCCATGGTTTTCCTTTCATTATTTAATTTCTCATTTCCACATGTAAATTACAGTGCAGACACAATCGGTAAAGTGGTGGTTCAGTTTTTTTTCTAGTATGAGACAGAGCACTTTGATGCCACATGAGTACTGATGAATATGAAAGCTGTGTGTGCTATTTTTGAGTCTTTGGATGAAAAGTAGGATACAGAATCAGTATTTAATTTAATTATTCATCGATATAGCGAAGTCCAGTATCACAGCCACATGCATAGGTACAGGTTTGGATATGATGTGGTTAAGGAGAAATGAAAATTGTAGAATAGAGCATTGCAGCAATCTGTATTTGAACATGTAGCATCTGTTAGCAACTCTTTAAATCAAATGCATTTTTCTTTTAGGTTTAGGAAACAGTTTGGGAGGTCAGCCCCATGACCCAAGGAAAAGAGACATCATATTTAAACAGTTGTCAACTGCTGTTATCTGATCATCCCTTCACACTCCAGATCATTTGCCCCTTTGAATCTGGATTACTGCACAGTCCCTAGTACAGAATACAATTCAGGGAAAACATATTCAGGAAACATGACAAATTGTAGCATTCTAAAGGAATGAAAAGTACACAGTACAATCCAAGAGAGGAACCAGTTAAAGTAAAGATGTATTTTGAAGTTTGAAGTGTTGCAAACAAATAGGAAATATCGCCTAATAACACTTCTTATTTGTAATATCACATTGCCACATCTGAAACTACTTTCAGTTAACAGGAAGTTATTTTGTAACAAGTTAGATCCTTGGTCCATCCAGCATTGTGGCACCAACAATGTAGATTCAAGGAAGAGGTCTTTCCTTAGCCTTACCTGGAGAAACCTGGGACTGAACCTATAAATTCTTGCATGAGAGCATGTGCTCTACAAAACTGCAGACCCGCTGCAGGCATTTTACATTTCAGGAATACGGTAATGAACACTGCTCTTGTAGTGGCTAATGAATGGCTTCATTACAAGAATTTAATTATAAGCTATCTTTTTGTCCAAAGCAGCTTAAATAGAATCCTTGCAAAGACTCATTAACTTACCGAAGCATTATTGTTTTCTAGACTAGAGCCTCTTTCATAAGATCCTTGCTTCATTCCGTTATGGTTCATTAGTTTTATTAGTTATACATTGTGGTAGAAACTGTGAAACCATGGAGCAGAAACTATGCATCAATTTTTTAGCTTCTAGTTATAAAGGTCAATAAATATTTGCCAACTTATTCCTGTATTCTATTTTTTAAAAAAAATATACAAAGATAATTTATTTAAAAACTCTATTGATTCTATGTGTGTCTAAAGACAACTTTTATTTTTAAAAAATACTTGTTACACTATGTCTATAGATTCCAGAATGTTTGAGGGACAGCTATCCCAAACCTGATCAACCCTGTTATCTTTATGTAATTGGTATGGTCTTAACTACCCCTCTACCTGATGAGCTCAACTTCAGAAGACGAAAGCTATATCCTCCCGAAGATACTACAAGATGTTTTGGAATACTGACAGCCAAACCTATACCTCAGGTAGCTAAATATATGCTTGTACTGCATTTCTCTTTCCTTCCTTTTAAATTTGCTTTGAGATGTTTAAGCCAATGTTTTGCAGTACCACTTCATGTTCATGGAACGTTCTTGCTTACTGTACCTTGCCATAGTTACCTAGTTAACTGTTTAAAAAAGACTAATAATACTTATGTTTTGAAATGTTTGAAATACTGAAATAATATAATGATCCAGATTAGTAGCTCAGCTGCTTGTTTCTTTTTCACCACTATGTTACAGTGTAACAGCTTTTGCAATTTATATAGGAATTTTGTGAAATAGAGAATATAGTTATATGTATTCCCTCTCTGTAAAGAAATTGCTCACAGGAAGAAAATACTTTTATGTATATGATTGACCTTCTAAATCCTTTCTTATTCTTCTATAATTAGTACATATGATTAAGCAACGCCTTCTATTGTAGAATGCATATACATGAATTAAACTAAATCAAGATTAATATTTTGAGCCAAGCTAATGTATCAGAGCATTATGTTCTTTCTGGCTCCTGTTATCTTCCAAAGCAAGCATATGTCTCAAGTACGGGCCTAACTTTGGAGACGGTTTAGAAGATACAGCTGATACAAAATGGGGTGGCAAGATTGCTGGTGGGCATTCCCACCAGACTGTAATAGGGAACTTTAGGGACTTCTCTTGCCCAAGAGGTTCACATGGCCCCAACATTTCTTTTATTTCAGGACCAACTTAAAGCAATACTATTCCAGCATGGTTTCAGCCCTTAGTTTATTTGGGCACCTATGATTATAAGATTTCTTTGGTTTTTACATTATTATCCTTGTGTTCCCTCCCAGAATAGGTTAGGATTGGAATGGGCTATAAATAATATTAATAAAAAAATATTTGTGCTTAACTTTGTGTAAATCACATATGCTCCTTAATCCTGGTTTGGATCAAGAAGTTCCTTTCTAAGATAGCATCTGATAAATAGTAAGAATATTGCACAAGAGAAGCAAAAATATAAAGATTATAGTTGTTGAGAAATTGTAGTGCATATTCTTACAAGAAAATTGTAAAAAAACTTCATAAACGTGTACGCAAGGCTTTGCACAAATATTTGGATTATATTAGCTGCTGTGTGGCCACCATTTGTGGTTCTTGGTTGAATCCATTACATTTTTCTGCCAATTTTCAGTTTGAACCTGACATTAACATGTTTTTTTGTGCGTGTGTTTCCAATCTAGAATTGAATGGCTGAAAATCTAAACACCATTATGCTGGTTTGAATATTAGTTGTACGTTAGTAGTTAACAAGAGACACAAATTTTAGCCAATACCTTCTTGTAACCATCTTATGTTTACTTTGATTGGTTTGTCTGTTTACCTAGATTCCTCATTTTCCTGTATATACCCGCTCAGGAGAAGTGACTATATCTATTGAGTTAAAGAAATCAAGTTTCACTTTGTCTTTACAAATGCTTGAGTTAATCACACGACTTCACCAATATATATTCTCTCACATTCTTCGACTTGAAAAACCTGCACTAGAATTCAGACCCACTGATGCTGATTCAGCCTATTGTGTTCTACCTCTTAATGTTGGTGAGAAGAGTGCTGTTTTATTTATTAGTTAAAGTTACATACAGTTGATGGGATTGATAAGTGTCCAGTTGCATACAAGTTCTTCCAGTTGTAGAGGGACTGCTTAACACCCCTCAGCAACCTTCTGTGTTAGAGCATTTTGCAGAAAAATTAAACAGAATTGAACAAATAGGCAGCCATAAACATTTAACAAATAAATGAGTTGTGTTCTTTTTAGCTGCTTTAAACTTTGCACATTTTCTTATAAAAGCAGAAGCTTGAGAACTACTATAGTATATAAACATTGATCTATAGAACAATATTTCAGGCTGCCTTCTGTCCATCTGAAGTATTGATTACCACCAAAAGCCCTGTGAAATTACCAAATTGATTTTGACAAAAATTCTTGGGGGTTATCTGCCATTTAAAAAATATATGCTAAGAACCTGAAAAAAATAAAGATTTTCAGTTTTGAAATTCAAATAAAATCTTTTCTTTTTAAGTTGATGGCTCCAGCACTTTGGACATTGATTTTAAATTTATGGAAAATATTGAGAAATCTGAAGCTCGTACTGGCATTCCCAGTACACAATATACAAAAGAAACACCTTTTATTTTTAAATTAGAGGATTATCAGGATGCAGTTATCATTCCAAGGTGAGTATTTTCTGAAAATTGAAACAGGCATCTGTATATATTTAAAAGTAGTATTTTTCCAACTATTAATAGTTTAAATGCAAACATTAGAAGATCCCATAGTGATTAAGTCTGGCTTAAAGGAGTTGGATTCTGGATTTCTTGAAAAGGTTACATGTCAAAGTAAAAAAAAAAAATGCATCCTAAATATCAAAGTATTACACAACTTTGGTTGATCCTAGTAATTGCCTAGTATGAAGAATTGCCCATCAGGAGTGGTATGCAAAAAGTTTCAAACTAAACTAGTTCATGTTTAAATTGGAAATATCTCGCTTCAAGCTTAAAACAGAGCTGTTTAAGATGAGAAACATTTCAAACTTGAAATAGGGTATTTTAATTTTGAGACAATTGAAAATGGAAATGCTTTGCATGCCACTACCCAGTAGGCTTCCTAATACAAGAGGTGGCTTCTCTAAAAGAGAAAAGGAAGTTGATCACAGATATAGGTAAGATGCAAAGTATTATTTAGAATTTTTGACATAACAGTAAAGAGATTGTTTTACAGCTGTGCTAGCATAGATGTGAAACTCTAGTGGAAGAAAAATAATAAAACACGGAATATTTTAAGCATAACTTGGAAAAAACAATGTGGAAGCTTCTGGGTTAAAAAAAGGAATAGTAATAAAAGCTAAAATATATTGTCTTACACTCATCCTCTTACACATAGAATGCTTCCCTTTTCCTTGGAAAATTTTCCCCCTTATTTCAGTAAACATGCAGTAGCCAAGATCAAAATAACTGTTCAGTTAATTTTCTTCTCCCAAAGAATGTGTTCACCTCCAATATTGAAAGGAGGGGATTTCAATAATATTTTGATATCTGGGCGGGTTTGCAGAAATTCCTACTGGGGCATGTAGCTCATTGTTTATTGATCAGCAACTGTTTTGAAAATGGAATTAAATTGTATTATTTTAGACTTGTTTGTAGTCAAGTCCAATGTCAGGATATGATAAAAAGTTTATTTGGCACAGTGTGTGACATTGGCAGCTAAATATCTGTTTCTATCTAGGTATCGAAATTTTGATCAGCCTCATCGGTTCTATGTTGCTGATGTCTACACAGATCTTACACCACTGAGCAAGTTTCCTTCACCAGAATATGAAACATTTGCTGAATATTATAAAACAAAATATAACCTTGATCTGACCAATCTCAACCAGCCATTGCTGGATGTGGACCACACATCTTCAAGGTAAAGTCAATTTAATAATTTAGTAATCTGTAGGACTCGACATATTTTTCCTTGTGGTGGTGATTTAAAAACATATAGTGTCAAGTTTCTAAATAGAAGGTGATTTTAGACACATTTAATGTTACTTCTTTAAAAATTTTGTTCAGGGGATAAACCTGGGCCAATGCAGTTTCTCAAGGATTTTTCAGATCTCTGTAAGTGAAGAGAGAGAGACATTTACTCTCTCAAAGACCTCTTAGCTGCATCAGTAAAGCAACATATTGGCACTCTGATACCAAACCTATTCTATCAGAGATTAAAAAATGAAGTTTGTTGGGGAAGTGGTCTAGATTTGGGGGGGGGGGCTGTCCTCCCCTTCCTTCATAGGTCCCTGAACAGGAAAAAGTTTATACTATCTTACTTTTGGGAGCAGAATAAGCAGAAAATACTAAAATAACAACTGGGAAAAGTCAAAGAAGAAAATAGAAAAAGTTGCCCTACTAAATAAGTTGGTTCCTCTACCTTACCTTCTCTCATCTCCCCCCTGAATAGAATTGCAGTGCAATATCTGTGTCTCAGAGAGAAAGTATTAATTAGCCACATGGTTAGATTTTTCCTACAGAAAAATCTCCAAGTTTTTCTGCTTATGATAAAGATGAACAAATTTCAAAAGAAGCAAAAATGTCTAGGAGGGGTTAAACACATCCCTACTTCTAACATCTTATAAATCAAGTTTGGGGTTTTTTTGTTTCCATTTTTCAAGATAGAATCTGAATTATTATAGTAAGCCTTCTAAAGAAGCCTGTTCATTTGATTTTAGACTTAATCTTTTGACTCCTCGACATTTAAATCAGAAGGGGAAAGCTCTTCCATTAAGCAGTGCAGAGAAACGGAAAGCTAAGTGGGAAAGTCTGCAAAATAAGCAGGTAATAGTATATGTTCTATTTTATAGTGCTCAGCAGCACCTTACTACTTTAAAATATGTAAGATTTTAAAATGAAGTTTTGTTTTTGTTTTTTATTAAAGATTCTGGTTCCAGAACTTTGTGCTATACATCCTATTCCAGCATCACTGTGGAGAAAAGCGGTTTGTCTCCCTAGCATCCTTTATCGTCTTCACTGCCTTTTGACAGCCGAGGAACTCAGATCTCAAACAGCTATTGACGCTGGTGTAGGAGTTAAATCACTTCCTATAGATTTCAGGTATTGAATATGTTGTAGTTTAACTATGTATGAACACTAGTCTAGAGTTAGGCCAATTTAACACATTCTCAGATAGTTTCTCAGTGGTTCCATAAATGCCCCATCGGAACTTTGTTTTCCGCTTATAGAAGGGAAGTTTTTACATTTTACTAGCATATTTTCCAAGAACTAAAATGAAATATAATGATTTACTTGCCCAAGTTAAATTGAACAAGAAAATAGTTAACTTTTCACAGCACTGTACAAACTATTAAAATTATATTTGTATAAATGTTGCAGAACAATGATAGAATCTACTTTGTTCATTACGTTTTTGAAATCAATCCATTTTGTTTTCAAGTTTATAGTTGCTGCTTAGTACTATGACCAACATCTAGAATTCAGTGATCAGCAGGGCTCCCATCTTTTAATTCTATTGTACAGTTGTTAATTCTTATAGTCAAGTTGTTCTGGATTTTGTGAGGCCTAAAAGCAGTTTGTAATGCAATATAGTTAGTGTCATTGGGGAGGGGCATATTGAAAATCAGGTATCAGCGTTATGGACCTAAGCCTTCTGTACATGTATCAATTAGAAGTTTTTAATTAGATAATTTGTTTTTTCAGATATCCTAACCTGGACTTTGGGTGGAAAAAATCTATTGACAGCAAATCCTTCATCTCTGCTCCTAATTCCTCTCTAGAAGAGAATGAAAATTATTGTAAGCACAGCACAATTGTAGTCCCTGAAAATGCTGCACATCAAGGTGCTATTAAAACCTCCTCTGCAGATAAGCATGACCAAATGTCTGTGAACTACAGAGCATTGATAGAGTCACCTAGCAAACTCCAAAAGGATGTCTCAGTAGAACTGGCAACAGCTAATGGTGTTTCTTACAGTAAAAACCTTGCCAACGGCAATTGTGACTTATCTAACAGAGACGTTTGCCAAGAAAATCAGCTAAATTACTGCAGGCAAGAAATACCTGTACAATCAACTACCTCGTATCCTATTCAAAATTTATACAACAGTGAGAACCAGCTCAAGCTCAGCAATGAATGTACTCTGAGTAATAAATATCTTGATGGAAATGCTAACAAATCTACCTCAGATGATTGTCCCAAAATGACAATGACCACCAGTGCTTCAGAAGCTTGCAAACTTTCAGAAGAAAGCATGGGTTCTGTAACAAGCCCTTCCAGCGGTTATTCCTCAAAAACCCTTGGTCCGAACCCTGGTCTCATTCTTCAGGCATTGACTCTCTCAAATGCTAGTGATGGATTTAATCTGGAACGGCTTGAGATGCTTGGTGATTCATTTTTAAAGCATGCCATCACTACATATTTGTTTTGCACTTATCCTGATGCTCATGAGGGACGCCTGTCATATATGAGAAGCAAAAAAGTGAGTAGTGTATCCATGATTTCTGACTCTGTGTGAGTTTGGTATGTGTACAAACCAACAAATCTAGTGACATGTTACAATGTTGTTGGAGTATGTTCAGGTAGTTCTCACTTACTGACTGCCTTGTTCAGCAACTGCTCAAAGTTACGACAGTGCTGAAAAAGTAGGTTTATGACCAGTCCTCGAACTTGCAGCCATCGCAGCATCCCTGTGGTCATGTGATTATGATTCAGTCACTTTGCGACCGCTGCGCATTTATGACAGTCGCAGCATCTCACGGTCATGTGATTGGCATTTGCGACCTTCACAGCCAGTTTCCAACAAGAAAAGTCAACGGAGAAGCTGGCAGGAAGTTGCAAGTCACAGTCACATGATGTAGTGCTTAATGACCCATAGTGATTTGCTTAACTACCACAGCGGGCCTGAGGTAAGTCCAACGTGGTCATGTGAAGTTTCACTTAATGACCACATTGCTTAGTGATGGAGTTGCCAGTCCCACTTGTGGTTGGTAAGTGAGGATTACCAGTATTAATTTTTGTCCATACTCTGAGTGTGTATGTCCTTCCATAAGGAACTGGATAAGTGAAGAGCAGCTTTGTTTGCCTTTTTGTCATTTGAGAAACAATGGTATTACAGTTTATAGGTAGTCCTTGCTTAACAACCATTCTTTTAGTGACCATTAGAACTTACGATGAAATTATGGTGGCGCTGAATGAATGGTAGTTACGACCGGTCCTCAAAGTTACAGCCATTGCAGCACCCCGTGGTCCCATGATCAAAATTTGGATGCTTGGCAGTCTGCCCGCATTTACAACCACAGAATGCAGTTCAACTCCTCCCACCCACCTATCTCTTCCCCATCTCTGCGCTTTTGGCTGTCCTGCACTCCGCCACACCTGCTGCCCTGCATCCCTGCCACCCCCAGCTGACCTTCACTGTGTTCTTCCCCCCACTCCTAATGAGGTTCACGCAGCCGAGGCAGCTGCTGACCCTTTGCGCTGCCTCTGAGGTGTTGCAGAGGTCTCACAGAGGAGTTGCAGAGGGGTCAGGCCTTGTGGATTGTTGCAGGGGCATGAGGCATTGTGGAGGCATCATGAAGAGCCAGCAGCTGTCTTGGCTGGGTGCACCTCATCAGCAGTGGGAGGAAGAAGACAGCGAAGGTCAATGGGGGGTGGCAGGAGTGGGTGGCAGCGGGGGAGTACAGGGAGGCCAAAAGGGCAGAGATGGGAGGGACATAGGCACGTGGGGGGAGTTGAAGTGGAGGTGAGCATGGTTGGGTGGCGGAGCCTCGTCTGCTGAAGGGAGCTTGCCAGACCCAGCTGGGGAGTAGGCAGTGGGACGGAGCCAGCAGTTTGCACAAGGCAGGAGAAGCATGAGGTCCTCACCTAATGACAGTGCAGTCCTCACCTAACAACTGCAGCTGGGACTACCAGAACTCCTATTGCTAAGCGGGGTGGTCACGTGATGTTTCACCTAATGACCATTTCACTTAGCAATGGAAATTCTAGTCCCAATTATGGGTGTTAAGCGAGGACTACCTGTATATTTATATTGAGTTTATCTGATGGATTACAGCTCTGTTTCAAAAACTTACAAATTTAGTAGAGGCAGATTTGGCAATCCAAAGCCTGTTGTAATTACATGTTTTGAATTTTTAAATATTTCGATTATGATAAACTTTTTTTTAAAAGGTCAGCAATTGTAACTTGTATCGTCTTGGAAAAAAGAAAGGGCTTCCTAGTCGCATGGTGGTGTCTATATTTGATCCTCCTGTGAACTGGCTTCCTCCTGGTTACATAGTAAACCAAGACAAGAGTAATGCAGACAAATGGGAAAAAGATGAAATGGTAAGACTTTTGAAATATTAAATGTTTCAGTTACAAACATGTTGCTGCAAGCAAAACAAGAAAATGAGGTGCTTACATATCAGTCTTCAACAAAATATTGCCTACTACATCTTTTTTATTTCTCTTAAAACATCTCTGTAATAAAAGTAGGCTGAAAGGTAATATTGGAAGACTTATGAAGGAAAATTTATTAAATAATAAAATGGAACTAAGCAAAAATATTGGAAATATTGGGGAAAAAATCCCTTTGCCCTCTGTTGTGAAAACAGTTCAGTGTTGAAGGTGTGTAGACTGCACCTTTGTAGTTTTTAGTGAAAATCGTGATGGGGTTCTCTTTTTGAAGAGTTGAGTCATATAGTCTCTAACGCAAAATAGCAGTTAGGAGTCTCCTCTTCTTATGACCACTAATTCCTGTATGATGTTATATAAAAATGCAAATGTTCTCTGTAAAAAGAAGAACTCAACTTGAATGCACATTAGTATTTTCATATATCTGCTTTATGCAAGAGTTATAGTAGTGTATAATAAGATAATGCTCCCCTTAGGAAAAACCCAGTGTATAAACAAGACAGTGCCTAAGTTCCTCACCTTTTTAACTTAAGATTGCCAATTGTAGCTGAAACCAATCCTGAATTTTTTCTCCTCCCCACCCCCCTATCCTATGTTATAGATAACCTATGATACGTGTAGTGTTTGTATAAGCTCAAAGAACATTATGAAAAAAAAAAATTTACATCCCCAGCTCCCAACTATTAGTCAAAGAGTTATCGGGTGCACTTTAGAGATTTTTGTTTCTTTCTTTCTGTGTTGAAATAGAAACTTCCTTGAGGACATATCCTCTTTTTGGAGTCCTAGATGAATAAAAGTATCTATTTATTCAAAGAAATGCTGCAGGCTAGAACAAAGTGGTATCAAAATATTACAGAGCTATTGTGCTTTAGAATGGCACAATATTCACACAACCAAATTGTTGACACATTGCTTTATCAGTGCTTGAAAGAAAAAACACACAGGTCTATCTGAACTATATGCAAATTAGAAGAATCTGAGCATTTCAGATAGCTTAAATGTGTTCAGCATAAGCCGCCCTTTTATTTTCTTCCTTAATCTGGAATATTTAATTGTTCATATAAAACATTTCAGAGATATTTATGGGTAGATAACCTACGGTAATATCATCTTATCTTCTGAATTACGTCAGACTTCTTAATCATTCATTTTTGTGTGTTTTCATTCATTCATTTCTGAGATGCATTTGTACAGATAAAAATCATACACTCAATACCAGTACAGTCTTACATAACAATTTCTCTGTCTATCAGTCTGCCTATATAAGAATGTAAGAAGGAATTTATGACTCTAACACTCCTTATTTTATCATATTTCCTGGCTCTTCAGTTTTACTGATAAGGTACCAAAAGATTCCAGGGTCAGAGTTAGCGTAAGAAATACAGGTTGGCTTTTATCACACTAACTCTTAGCTCGCTCTTCTCAGGATCTTTTTGTTTTGTTTTGTGACAGACTGCTTTTTCTTGGAGATATATTTGATTCCCTACTACATTCATTCAAATTTTGTATGTGGTATTTCCTATACATCCAAATGCATAGGAAGGAAAATTAATAGGTTTGATGATATTGGAATCAGCTGTCCTTTTAGCCCTAGAGTTCTTTAATATCCAGTCTTCAGTTTTCTGAGTTTATACCTGAAGCCGTAATTTAAGATTTCACTTCACTTTATTTCACTGTTATTATAATAAGGGTTCTATTTATACTATTTCAGGATGGATTATCTTGATTAAGCTTTGTAATAGTTTGCTATGTAACTACAGGTTGTTATATTGCCCTTCAGAATCAGAACTTCTGAAATTACAAGTTTGAATTTAATATTTGCCCTGCTTTGTCAGAATGTTTGGTACAAAGATAAATATAATGGAATCTTGAAATGCTTATTTGTAGTTCTCTTTGATGCAAATTATTTTAGACCACTTTCTGAATTCTTGTATTATTATGAATTGCTATAATTCATATTAATTATGATAAAGAATATTGTTTGCCAAAATGCTTTATTGCTGGGCTTCTATTATTTTGTGGGTGGAATAAAAAGTCATAAGATTGATTAGAAAGAATTAATATTTTTTGTGCTTATCCATTTTCTGAAATTCATAATTTGACTACAAAACCACCAGAGGGCACACCAAAAATATTACAAAGGAATATTATCGTACAGTAAAACATTTTAAGTATTGCATAAATATATAGAAAAAGAGGGATAATTAAAAAATAAAGTTGCTAGCAGCACTATGCACTAGCCTGAAAGTATAAATGGATAATTACACTAATAAAGTTTGGAAGCAGCAGAATGCCCCAAAAATCTGTATCATGACCAATTTTTAAAAAATGTATTAATATCAGGTGAGGTTAAAACACAAAGTTAGTTGCTTATACCCAATTATTTAAGATGACTAAAAAGTGTAGAAGTCCAGATCTCTTTAAACTGAGCAAATACCTTAATGTCACCAATGTAAACTTGTGGGAAATTATGCAGATAAAGATTTCTGGTAATAATTTTGGAAGGAGTAGAAAATCACTACTGATACTTCAATACTTCTAGTCAATCTCTGTTGTGTTCCACACTTGTGAACAGTTCTGGTTACCACACCACAACATTGATATGGTACAGTTAAAAAAGGTGAATAAAGACAATCAAAATTATTAATCATTTCTTCTGTGAGGTGAAATTGTATTCAGGGTTTTTAGTTAAAATTTTTAAAAAACCTCCCTTTTATTAGACTGGAATCCATGAGCTTCCAGTTAAGTTGAATTATGGAGATTTGCAGTTGTTCAAAGGAAATGCTTCCTCATAATATAAAGCTATGCACATCTTTAAAAGAGAATTAGACAAATCAGTGACTATTTATTGAGGGATATGAAATCCAAAATCACAGATTCACGGTAACTAGCTGAAGTTTTATGACAGTTGTAAGCTTTCATCTTTCTCAGAAGTTTTCATTAGATAAAATGGTTATGGTAGGAAGTGAGGTGGTTGGAAAATGACAGTGGAGCACTGTAGGTACAGAGCTGTATTTGTAGATGCAGTGATGGAGCCTCCAGCTGAGCAGATAAGGTCTTACCTGGTACAGGGTAGTACTGAATTGCAAGCTAAGTCTTTTCAAAGTTAGTTAGGAAGAGGACAAGAAAAATGTATATCTTCTATTTGAGTCCCATGTTTTTTGTTTTTAATCTTGGATTATATACAGAGTTCCCTTGATTGTGGTGGGGAATACAGAAAAAAAATCAACAGGGCAGTATTCATATTTACAGTGGGAAGTAATTTCAGTTTTTATTAGGCATCAGTCATAGAACAGAAAATAAAGTCCCAGCAAAAATAAACTGAAGTCTTCCTTCTCCCGTGTGTATCTCACTGTGAAGCAGTCTCTACATTCAGCAATGTCCAAGCCACATAAAAAAAACCCTGATGCTAATTATGAATAAAAAATCCAAAATCACAGATGTGCAAATTGTTGCTATTGCTCTCATACCCTGTTTTTCAGCCTACCTTAGGTATGTGGTTAGACAGGACCATGGGCTAGATAAGCTTTCACTCTGCCCTGTATGTGTCTCTAGACATTAAAGCATACTTAAAACTACTTAATTAACCCTTAAAACTCTTGAATGACCAAAGTCTGGTGAAACTTAAGTGTTTTCACATGAGATAATGGAAATCTCAAACATTTTTGGCCATTTTTATTTACTTATTTTATGCCCACATGTCCTTCTGAGATCTTGGTGTCTAAAAGGGTTCCCAACTTAGAATTTAGGGAGTATAAATAACTTGTAAGAGTCTAGTTCAATAATCAGATCTTTTGATATATAGTACTTTTGTGTGAATTAGTCTTGTCTTCATCTCCATCCTTATGTCACCAGTTTAGAATTTTTATTTCCTCCCTAAAGTTTGACATTAGAAATGAGACAAAAATAAATGTTGTCTGTATCCTAATTATTTCCAAATCAAAATATCCATCAGTGGTTTTATTTAGAAGTTAAATAAAAGCATGGATGAAATTATGAGACTTAACAGCAAACCATGCATCAAAGACTATGTGGGAGAAATGTTTACTCCAAGTTCTACCTTCTAAGAAGAATCAGAGCCACTGTAGAAGAATATTTCCTACTGATTGACAACATTAATGCATTTAAATTGTATCTATAGCTATTTTATATGAAATTACAAAATTACTGCAAAATTTTCAACATGAAGTTTTAATTTTTTCTACTTTTAGACAAAAGAGGGCTTATTGTCTAATGGAAAACATGATTATGATGATGATGATGATGATGACGATGACTTAATGTGGCGGGTACCCAAGGAGGAAGCTGACTTTGAAGAAGACTTTTTGGAATATGATCAAGAGCATATCAAATTTATTGACAATATGTTAATGGGTTCCGGAGCATTTGTGAAGAAAATATCACTGTCCCCATTTTCACCTGCTGATAGCAGTTATGAATGGAAAGCACCCAAAAAATCATCTTTAACTAATGTTCAATTTTCATCAGATTTTGATGATTTTGACTACAGTTCATGGGATGCAATGTGCTACTTAGATCCTAGCAAAGCTGTTGAAGAAGATGATTTTGTTGTAGGTTTCTGGAATCCATCAGAGGAAAACTGTGGTATTGATGCTGGAAAACAATCTATCTCATATGATTTACATACAGAACAATGCATTGCTGACAAAAGCATTGCAGACTGTGTAGAAGCCCTTTTGGGATGTTATCTGACCAGCTGTGGGGAAAGAGCTGCCCAGCTTTTCCTCTGTTCATTGGGTCTGAAAGTGCTTCCAGTTATTAAAAAAACTGATTGGGACAGTGTTCTGTACTCATACAGAGATCGTTTTAACAGCCAACAGAAGCATTCTTCAGCAAACTGCATTTCTGCCTCTTTAGCTAATCAAGAATCTTCTCTCTATAAAGATTTGGTATATGGCTGTTTAAAGATTCCTCCAAGATGTATGTTTGATCATCCAGATGCTGAGAGAACCTTAAATCACCTTATATCAGGCTTTGAAAACTTTGAGAAGAAGATTAACTACAGTTTTAAGAACAAGGCTTATCTACTTCAGGCATTTACTCATGCCTCGTATCATTACAACACCATTACTGGTGAGTCACATAAAATATCTCCTTTTCTCTAAGCTTGTGTACTTGAAAGAATGGAAATCATTTGAAATATATGTTAATTGTATTGTATCATTATATATTTCTCTCCAATCCCTCAATCCTTATTTATTAAGATTGTTACCAGCGGTTAGAATTTCTGGGAGATGCAATTTTGGACTACCTCATAACTAAGCACCTTTACGAAGACCCACGACAGCACTCTCCAGGAGTTCTAACAGACCTGCGATCGGCTCTTGTTAACAATACCATCTTTGCCTCATTGGCTGTAAAATATGACTACCACAAATATTTCAAAGCTGTCTCTCCTGAGCTGTTTCATGTTATTGATGATTTTGTACAGTTCCAGATGGAAAAGAATGAAATGCAAGGAATGGATTCTGAGGTTAGTGGCAAAAAATGCCAATAATTTTGATGTTATGATTTTTAAAAAAAACATAGCATAGGACATGAAGAATAGCAAGATTGGAGTAGGCAACCTTCTGTAATTCAAGGTTGTGTCATTCGCAGTATTTATTTACAAAGTACATGAGTATGTATTCAAATAAGATTATACATACACAAACTCTTCCACAAATCAAAAAAACAGATGATCTCTCACATGCATGCAAATACCCCTTCCCTTGTAAAAAAAACAAAACAAATCAGAATTTTACTTCCAAAGGCAAAAGAAAATTGAACTACTCTTTTATTAGGAGGAGAGAGCAACTCTGAGGCTTGGATTCTGCCCATGAGAAGAAGGCAAATTTGCTAAAATTTCGCTTACCTTCCTCACTGCTGTTGCTTCCTGTCTATCCTGTTCCATCTAGCAGCCTTCTCAGTAGTGATGTTGATAGTGCCACTGCCATAACTCTCCTTCCTCCAGAACTCTCTAGATCCAACTGGTCACCTAACCAGTCCTATCATTGTTAGACAAACTTGGATACAGTCCAGTTGTATTTTTAATATAAACTTTGCAACAGCTTTTATTGAGGAACTGTTTTTGGTGATTTTTAGCTCCGAAGATCTGAAGAAGATGAAGAAAAAGAAGAAGACATAGAAGTACCAAAGGCTATGGGAGATATATTTGAGTCCCTTGCTGGTGCAATTTACATGGATAGTGGAATGTCTCTGGAAATGGTTTGGCAAGTGTACTATCCAATGATGAGGCCATTAATAGGTAATGTAATTGTTCTCAGAAAAAGGGTTCTGTAGTTTATTATTTTGATCAGGGGGGATTACAGATTTCTATATATATTTATCATAGAAAAATTCTCTGCAAATGTGCCCCGTTCACCAGTAAGAGAGCTGTTGGAGATGGAGCCAGAGACAGCTAAATTTAGGTAAGAATTCATGCCTTCCATATTTATATAAACCTATATAATAACTTTATGTTGACTTTTGTCATAATTTTAATGGCACAAATGTCTAAGGGGAAAGTCTTCAGAAGATAATATGGAGAAGATTGTAAGTGATGAGGAAAGTATGCTCATCAAATTTACAGATGACACAAAGTTGGGGAAGGGGTTGTTAACACCTCAGAAGACAGGCTCAAGGTTCAAAAGGATCTTAATAGGTTTGAACATTGGGACCTGTCCAACAAAATGCTGTTCATTGGTGAGAAATGTGAGGTTCTGCCCTTAGATGGGAAAAACTGGATGCATTGGTACAACATATGGGTGGTACCTGGCTCAGCATTACTTGTGAGAAGGATCTGGGTGTCCTGGTAGACTGCAGATTAAGGATGGCCAGCAGTGTTGCTGCAGCTGCCAAAACAGCCAGTGCAATCTTTGCTTGCCCTCACAGAAGTATAATGTCAAGTGTGGGGGTGCACTGTGAGTGGTGCTTCAGGGGTCAGTGCTCTCTCTGCTCCTGGAGTAATGGGTGCTCCATCACTGGAGGTTTTCAAGCAAAGGTTGGACAGCTATTTGTTCAGGATGGTCTTGAGAATTCCTGCCCTGGGCAGGGGGTTGGACTATTTGACCTCTAAGATCCCTTTCAACCCTCTGGTTCTATGATTCTAAGTATAAATTGATACCATTCAAAAGTAGGTAAACATGGTATCATATGTTAACATGATACCATAGGTAAACATGATATCAGTTTATATGTACAACTTAACTACATACATACACAAACAAGAATTTTTTTTCATGACTTTCCAATGAACAACTCTTCTCAGTATTAATTGGTAATATTTATTAAAAAGGAAATTAAGGTTACAACACAAGAATTCCACTGAGAATTTAGGTAATTTAAGGAGGCTTTTTTGGTCCTTTTTCCATGTTAAGGGAAGGAGGCTTGTCTTAGTTGTGAAGATGGGATAGGCTGTACCTCTTGATTATTTTTAACGTGACCACTAGATTTCTTATCAATGTGAGAACTAGCTCTCATGCCAGCAACTTTATCTCTACCACCCACGAACATCACAATAGTAAAAATGCACTGCTCTCGCTACTGATTCTTCCTGTGTGTTTGATAATATGACCGCACAGTTTGGCAAATAAAGCAATATAACTTTCTCAGTTAGTAACATGAAAGGTCAACAGCATTGGAATGCTATCTATTAATGCATATGCACAGTGCACATTTTTACATTTTACATTAACCAGCCTGAAAAGGAAAGTAGAACATGAAGAAGAGCACAGTAACTACCTACGAAAGTTAACTTCTTGTAGAAAAAAAATAATCTGCATACAATGTAGACAGCAGTCTTTTTCTTATATCCATAGTGATTCTTCTCTAAGTGCTTAACTTCTTTCCTCGTCCCTGCATGTTTTCCTTCAACATTGTTTCATTGGCTAGTGCACTCTCCAAGTATCCATCACTGGATTTTTTTTTAAAAAAAAGCTAATAATGGAATCTTGGAACATTTAAAGTAATGTGGAATGAAGTGAGATGTTTAGACTTGAGCTCAAGACAAATTTCAGAACACAGGTATGAAATACTCAAAATAGTAACTCTGACATTGTGTTTCTTCTGCTCAAGTTTTCAGTAAATTACTCTTTAAGGTCCATGGGTTTACTTGGTTATCATATTGTTGCCAAGAAGTCTACATGAACGTATCTATGTATTTACCAGGAGTTGAGCTCAACTCAAGGGAATATTTAACAGTACTGTGCGGTTAAATACTGTTACTCTTTGGAATTAATTTCATTTTTGCTATTTTCATTGTAATTTGATTTTTTTTTCTCGTTCCTCCTACAATTCATGTAGTCCTGCCGAAAGAACTTACGATGGAAAGGTCAGAGTAACAGTGGAAGTTGTAGGGAAGGGAAAGTTCAAAGGTGTTGGAAGAAGCTATCGGATTGCCAAATCAGCAGCAGCAAGAAGAGCTCTACGAAGCCTCAAAGCAAATCAACCTCAGGTTCCGAATAGCTGAGACACCTTCTTAAAAAAACAAAAACAAATATACCATAAAGAGAAATTTAAAAAATATATGTTGAGAGGAACAAACTGAAGACAGCAATTAAAGTTTGGTAATAAAGTAGTTAACAACATAAACATGTATACATAATTTTGGAACTAATTGTAGTTATAGGTTTTTTTGCGCAAACACAATCTTGTCTTCTTTCCTCACTTCTGCTTTGTTTAATCACAAGAGTGCTTTAATGATATTTAGCAAGTGTTCAAAACAATTGTCAGGTTCTTTGGTTTACTTTTTCACTACAGTACAGCTTTGCTTTGCTTAAAGGCCAGGGAGCTTATGTCTCTTGTGAGATAAATATCTGTATCTCTACTTCTATCTAGATATATGGATATATCTTGAAATTCCTTTAATCTGTGCACTAGTGCCAGTCACAAAGCAGTTATAAACTGTGCTGGATAATATGGTGTAAGAATAAGTGTGCCAGTATTGTCCTTGTTCTTTCCATGTCATCTTTGCATTAAGATGGCATTCCCAATCATTATTGCACTTATTTGTTAGGGACAGGTTTTTAATTGAAATGTCTTGCATCCAATAGAATTTTAATTGATGCCACATAGTCTTGCATTAAAGGTTCTTGCCTTAAAAGTACATATGCCCTCAAAATTAAAAACATTCATTTTTTTATCTCTTTGGAACAAACTGTATTATATTCCCTCCACTTTTAGAATGCATTTTGCAATGATAAATCTCTGTATTTACAGTACTTGTTAGTTTAGCTGTGACTTAACTTATTACGCAACTGTAATAGAATTGTATTCATATATACGTAGTGAGGTTATTTTTAACATTTCAAAGGAAATTATTAGTACAGAGTTTATTTGATATTGCAAAGAAAATGTTTCTTCTTAATTTCCATTGTTAAGAAACCAAGAGTCTAGACTGAGCAGTGTCCATTACTCTTGTGGAACTTCCTTTCACTTCAAGGGGCTTGTGCAGGAGATTTTCTTGGTGGATTACTGCCATAGTTTACTGGAATTTAGTAATGATAATTGCACAGTGTGAACTGTTGCTTTTTTAAAAAAGAAAAAAAAGAACCTTTGACATATCGCACCTAAAATATGCTGCAGTTTTTTTTATTGGATACCTATTTAACAAATGGAGCACCTTTACACCTTTAAAAGCAATTTCCACATAATTCTTACTGTACTTTTCAGAGTTGCATGCATATTTCACCTACCAAAGCTGTGCTGTTAAAATGCCATGGAAGTTGTCGTGTGAGAGAAACTGCCATACTTTTGATACATCTGTGACTTAGGTTCTTTAATGTAGAGTAACTAGCTCATTATTGTTGTTTAAGTTGATATGAAATCGTAAATTGTTAGGCTATGCCTCAATTTCTTTATACATATGTAGGCACCCTTCACTTAAATACCTCAGTTCTTTGTTCTTTTTATGTCTTTTTTCTCCTTTTTGCATGCATTGTTTTTTGTTTGTTTGTTTTTGGTGCTATGTGTATGTATTATGCTTGAAATTTTAATTTTTGCACTGTAACTATAATACCTCTTAATTTACCTTTATAAGAAGCTGTGGGTCATCTTGCACTCCCACCAATATCAATAGAGGTTTGCTGCAATTTTACCCCTGTTAATTATGCTTGAAGTTTGAGAGAACTGAGCAGAGTTTTTAATGTTTTCCAGCACAGTGGTTTACTCTTGACGCTATTTTAAGTGCTAAATTGCAGATAATCCTGTTTTCTGCTTTTAAAGACCCCCTCCTTCCCACACAAGCATATTCATTCAAACTGTAAAGAGGAGAAACATCTGGCTTATCCTTGTAAAGAATAGAACCATAACTTAGTGACAAAAAAGTTAAATTTCAGGATTTAATTTTGAATGACAGATACCTTGTTTAAATTCATAATAATGAATCAAAATAGTATTTGTGTGGGGCTTAATTCAATGAGAGAATAAAATGCCTGGAATTGCACATGCAACTCAATTTTGTGTGTGTGTCCAGCACAACCATTTCAAATGAATGAAGAAGTAATTTTCCCTTTCAGCTTTAAAATAGTCTGTTCTTCATTTCAGCATGAGTGGTTACCATTAATTTTTTTTAAAAATTAAAAAAAAAACCTGCAACATACATAGTGCTCTCTCCATAGACATAGACATAGACAGCGTGTGTGTTTTGGATTGCGGATATTTGTTACAGTGTTGAAGCAAGACTTTAATCCCCCTCAGCCACTGACTCTTTAGTTGGTTGCATCCATATTTCAGAAGTGGGGCATATAAGCCCGCTTTATGGAACAATAAGACTGTAAAGGTAACTTCAGAATAAATATTGTTAAATTCACGGTTGTGGCTCAAAGTAAACATCTTGTAATGCTAGTAAATAATTGTTACTAAAATTATTTTTTTTTTCTCTGCTGATAGCCAGATTAGCCTTTAAAAATATTCATACAGTTTTTTAAAAAGAGTATGTATTATCCCAATCACATACATAAAGTTCTGTGATTTTATAATATACCATACCTAAAATAAGATCCAAATATATTCAGTAAACACATTTCATATTTGAATAATTTCAAAAAAGTAAGATATCACAGGATGGCAGTTGAAGAGTCTGATAATTAGATTCCCTAATCTAAAGTATTCAGTGCCTCCACAATGCATCAAGCCATGTAATTAAAAATACTGAGTAGGGATCAACTATAAATCTAGGTCCTGCTGCTGTGCACCTCTGTGTATAATATCACATTGTCTTTGTTCTATCATTTAGTTCAAATATTTCATAAAGCAATTAGAATCCACAAATATAACACAAAATCCACCCATAAAATTTTGATCTTGCACAACCGTTTTTCCTTTTCTAGAAAATACAATTGGGTATTTTGGGGTATTTTTGAAACCTAAATTTGAAAATTAGGGCCTAAATCTTTTGATACACCACAAGCATGAAACAAAAGGGACTGTTGCAAACCTGTCTTCAAATTGTATAACACAGATTCCTCATGTAGACAACCGAGGGGTTAATGGCATAAACCTATTTTCAAATGTTTGTCTGTGTATTAAACTGTCCTGCTTACAGTCCTCCTAACTATGCTGCATTTTTAATTTTTATTATGGCTTTGTTTTGTGCTATTCTGTTCATGTAGCACAAAGAATCATTGCACTTGGTACCATGCTTTACCTCATTTCAAGGAGAAATACCCTTAAACGAGAAAATATGGTTCGGGGCTTGCTGCTGCTTTGGTTTACTGAATTTGAATAAGACCACTAGAGTGTTTGCAGTATGTCAGTTAACTTGCACAAATGAAACAGGCCATTTGCTGTTGTTTTCCTATGGCATGTTACTATATTTGTTTCATTTAAATGACTGATTATTGAAGAATTTCCAGGGAAATTTCCAGTATCTTGTATGATTAAAAGATACTTCCTCAAGTATGTGCTCCTCCATTTTATGAGTTTTCTTTAGTTTTTGGAAGAGTTTCTCAACTCCACAGGAATATATATTTCAGTGGATACAGGAGGCTGCAACAGGAAGGAGTTGAGAGGAGTGTCATTGTGCGAGCAGAAACTTCCTAAGTGCTTCCCTCAATCTTCCCACTTATCTTTTTCTTTCTTATACAACATTTTTATTTTTGATAAAACGGTTTAAATGTTAAACTTAACTTTGATTTCCTCCCCTTGATGTAAATTCACTTGTCTACATGATGGTCACTTACATTTTTCCTTCATTTTGGATGTGAAGGGATCTGATTTTTATAAAAGTTCTTGTCAGTGTAATGATAGGCTCTGTTCCGCTCTGAACAGGTCTACTTCTAAGTGGTATAAATTAATAGTCAAGGCCTTTTCAAATTGGAAGTTATTTGATCATACTAGAGCCGTGCGTTCTTCTATATTCTTCAGTGAATGTAGTAGAATTAGTTGTATGTGACTAATGAACACAAGGTTGAATCAAGGATGGTATTAGGGTATTGATGGCAAATTTCATATTCAGTAAGGAAAGATGTGATAATATTTATATAATGTTTCTTTAAACCTTTATAATTTACAGCTATAAAACATAACTTAAACCTAACAGCATTCACCAGCAGAAGTCTGATAACAGATCTCCATGGGGTCAGTGTAGAATACAAAACAGTAGCCACAATGTCTTTGAAGAATAATTCTACATATATCTGTTTGTCTCTAAGTCTGCTTACAGGTTCCCTCTACTTGTTTGTATTTTATAATTTGAATAACCATAGACTGTTTAAACTGATGTCATTTATATAACTGGTTTATTACAAAAGGAAGTTATCTGGAGAAACAGAAGTTGAAAAAAGTTGAAAATTGCAGGCTTTTTAATTGTAAATAGTTTGACTTTAAAGATGGTTAAAATCAAGTAGAATGAATAACATAATTTTATGGACAATAAAAGATTCCCATCACATGCTGCAGCTGTCTTAAGGGACATAAAATGTAATCCATTCATACTGTAATCATGCTGCAGAAATTTGCAGTCTGCACCTTATGGATCACAGTTACCTTTAATACTTTTTTTTTTTTTTTGTAAAATTGTAGCTGAATCTATCCCCAATAAAGTTCTGTTCTGTTCATTCTTGTGTTTTGTTTTCTGTATTTAACATAGCAATGCACGTGTTGCATGAATATATCAGATTGGATTATTGTTGATTATACATAGTATCCTTGTTTCAGGAGCCTAGTATACACAATTTTTTGGAAACTTCTGATTTCAAACATACGTTTGTACAATAAATAATGTATGAAATCTTTATCTCTGTTCAGGCACTGTTGAGTCTCCTTCCTAAATTATAGACTATAGACTACTTCACACAGGTAGTTCAGTGAGTCTTCTCAAGAGACACTTTCATCTACATTATCTTGAGTGGTAGGAGAGGAAAGCACTAATTCCCTTGGAATCCTCAAGAACTGAGATTTTAGGAATAGAATTCTAGGAATAAAGCTAAACTAATATGCAATCCTGGACTAGATAAGTCTTTGGCTTGAGCCACCAAAGCTCTAAGCCCTAATTTTACCCCAGAATTTTTCTGCTAATGAGTAGTCTGATTTGGAAGCAAGGTAATTGAGCTGATAACTCTTGGTAAACTTTTCTGTCTAAATAGCAGTGAAAGACTGTTTGGTCTCCAAAAATTATCACTTGCCACTAAAGATATAAAATGTGGCAGATGAGCTGTCATGCTAAGTTGAAAATCCTGAGTGTCCAATACCTTAATCATTATATGACAGTACCCCTTTTCCGCAGCAGCAGCAGCAATTTGTCCTGTATCGAGCCATCTCAACTCACAAAGCATTTTTGTAAAAGATACGTCTACTTACTATAATAATCAGAATTTGTCCTCACTTAGGAATGAGAATGCAAAGTTTCAGAGACATTTCTTGATCTATCTTATCCTGTCTTTCCTATCAGCAGTTACTGGAGTTCTTTAATTAGCTATGCCAGAGCTTTTGTATGCAGTTAAGCTGTACTGCCAGCCCTGGGTCTGCTTCAGTATGAATAAATAGCTCTTGTTTGAATTCTCTGGCACTCCAAGTGGCTTGAAACAGGACATAAAACTCTATTCATGTATTTTATATACAGGAGAAAGAGAGTACACACTTTTGTAGAAAGATGCACAGCTTTTTAAAAATGCAATTCCATCATAGATAATACTGTATTCTGAATATAATTGTGACTTCAATGCAATACCACAGAGCTTGGTTATGACATATGTTTATGACTTTCCTTTGTGATTCTTTTTTATACAAAATACAGTCTTACAACTGCTTACAGGAAGAAGTGATGTTGGATTTATACCCTTGATTCAATGTTCAAATGTTTTCACTGATATTTTCTCAATGATATATAATGATCCTTAATGAATTAGAAGGTTGAAATAATGGCAGGCCTTATTACATACCCTTTTACACACAAATGTGTATGTGTACCAACTATGATTAATTTTATAATTGCTATTGTAAAGCAATACAGATCTATGAACAAAAGCTAAAATTCTGATCACCAAATATTCTTATAAATTGGGTGCATTTCTAGGGTATAGACACATAGCCATACAGGTAGTCCTTACTTGACGATCATTCGTTCAATGACCATTTGAAGTTATGACAGCAATGAACAAATGATAGTTACAACTGGTCCTCAAAGTTATGGCTGTTGCAGTCCCCCTGCAGTCACATGATCAAAATTTGGGCATTTGGCAACGAGCCCACATTTACAACTGCAGTGTGTGCTTCAACTTCCCCCACTCACCTATCTCCCCTGCCATCTTTGCCCTTTTGGCTATCCTGCACTCCACTGCCACCTCCAGCTGGCCTTTGCCATTTTCTTCCCCTTGCTGGCCCGGGATCCAGGTGCTGGGTGAGGGTATGGCCTGCGATGCACGTGGCAGGATGGTGGAGCCTCGTCTGCCGAAGGGATGTCACCAGGCCTGTCCAGGGATGAGGCAGCAGGACGGCAGTGTGGGTGGCAGCTCCCTGGGTGAAAATGGTGGCTGTTAGCGCTGTGCAAGGCCTTCATCTGGGGATACACCACCCACACCGCCACCCTGACCCATTTGCTGGCTCTGTCCTGCCTTCTCCCAGGCCAGGCCCGGCCCGGCATGCTCCCTTTGGCAGACAAGGCTCCGCCACTTTGCTGAACTCGTGTGCATCCCAGGGCTTTGCTTTGCCCACCACTTGGATCTTGGGCCAGCAGCAGAAGGAAGATGGCAAAGGCCAGGTGGGGGTAGATGGGGGTGGTGGTGGTAGGCGGCAGCACAGTGCAGGGCAGCCAAGGGCAGAGATGGGGAGATTGGCAGGGGAGGGGAGTTGAAGGGGAGGCTAGCGTGGCAGGGCAGCGGAGCCTCGTCTGCTGAAGGAAGCTCGCTGGACCCGGTTGGGGAAGAGGCAGCGGGACAGAACTGGCAGTTTGCACAGGGCAGGAGAAGTGAGGTCCTCGCCTAATAACTGCAACTGGGACTACTGGAACTGCTGTTGCCAAGTGGTGCAGTCACATTATGTTTTGCCTAATTACCTTAGGCCAGTATTGCCCAAACTTGGCCACTTTAAGATGAGTGGACTTCAACTCCCAGAATTTCCTAGTTAGTTTTTGAAATGCTGGCTGGGGAATTCTGGGAGTTGAAGTCCACTCAAAGTGGCCAAGTTTGGACAACACTGCCTTAGTGACAGAAATTCCGGTCTCAATTAGGGTCAAGTGAGGACTACCTGTAGATTGTCTTCCCAACTTCACTGTTCCTAACCAAAGAATGTTTTTTCATGACCCATGTCCTTTGCTAGAAAGCAACTTCAATGGATCAGAGGGATACTTGTCTGGTCAGGGGAGGCAGAGTCAGTGACCTATCTGTTGCTACAATGTTCTTAATGTTCTGACAAAAAACAAAACAAAAACCATCCACTAACTGATCAATTGAGCTAAATTAGGATGTGTACCCTCTGAATTTAACAAAAATTAATGTAGCTTTCTGGTCTATGTAATTTTTTAAAGAATATGGTATTTGTTTTATTTTCTCCTTTCACAAAAAGATGCATCCCTTTCTGAATCACTCCCAAGCTCTCACTTCTCTAAGCACTAAGGAACTGCAGTAATTCTCTCATCTTCAATCACTTCCCCTTCCCATTGCTTGTATTTGTCTGGAAGGAAACACAACTGAGCGTAAGAACTAGAATGTTTGTAAAGTTTTGTAAAGTTTACACAGAGTGTAACATGCATACTCTGAGACCCTAAATCTCTAGCACACTTGAGAGCAGTTTCTAGTACCTAGTATGGCCCCCAAAAGTTTTGGGTGCAACACTTAGAACTTCCACAATGGTTATCACCCAATTGTAATTTTTCACGTAATAGAAACATTGTTAAATATATGGGACTCACTGAATTCCAATCAAATTTAGTTTTTCTCCTGTCTCTTCATTTTTGGAGTATAGCCCACAGTACACGATTCAATACATAAGTGTAGCTTTTAGCCTGAATGAAGTTATACTGTGTGCATCCCAGCTGTATGGATGTTCTCCCACAGAGGCATCCAGCTGGCAACTGCACACTGGTAATTGGGTAGCCACAAAAAAAAAAAGTCTGCTTTGTCTCTCCTTCCTACCTTGAAAAGTGTCAATGACTCGAGGATTTTGAAAGTCCAAAGTTAGCTTTGAGTGGAGTGGCCTTTTATCTTGAAATTATAAGTAAGGACAATATGTAAGATCTGGGGCTGCAAGCTCGCCCCCAAATTCTTTACTCTTCCAAGGACTCGATATATCTTACTTTTAGCAGTCCTAACAATAGTAATACAAGGTAGGTCAGGATTAATATCTCCACATTGTAGGCAAGAATGGGAGACTCAAGCTGAGAAAGAAAACTGATCAAAATCACTTCGTGGTTTCATGGCTGAAATAACATTTGAGCAGCCAAATTATTCCTGGTCATTTCCAGTTGTACCATTGCTTTGCACTCAACTGGAGAGAAAATATTAAATGTAAATCCCACCTTTTCACCAAAAATGCTGCTCAAGGAGACTAATTTTGTCTGCCATTCTTACAGAATACTGCACAGAATAGAGATGTCTAGCCTCTCTATTCTTAGAAACTTCTTGATTTTCTAGGAGTTCAGAAATGTGTTTTGCCTCCTTTAATATCTTACACACAGGCAATTAGGCTAATAATAAAATTACCCTATCGTTTTGGCTATTAATAAAATTAACTTCATGTAGCATGGTAATCTGCACTGAAAAAACAATCACAGCATTGGTCTATGAGAATAGCCATTTATTTAGATCAATCATTTCAGACATAATGTACAGATGGTGGTACCAAATCAGTGAATGGAAAATATTTTATTTTGCAACAAGCATATTTTCCTCTTATGTGTGAGCTGGGGAAAATGATCTTGCAATTACTGTCTAAAATCTGTTAAGGAAGTTAGACACAAAATGAATTTCCTTAAAAGATGCTTTGTGTATGAACACAAAATGGAGCAGGTTTATTTGGGAAACAAGCTTATTGATGAGCAAGTGGATCACAGGTAGACTTCTTTTCTGTAGACTTCTTTTCTGTAGACTATTGTGTGCTAGTTTACACATGCAAGCAATGGAGCTAAATGTTGAAGTTGGACTAACAAGCCCTGCTTATTTTCTCATAAGCTCCCTGCTTCATACATATATGCAAAGGGGATCAGGAATGGTAGAACATTATAGGTACTATTTTTTTATTTCTTCTCCTTCAAGGAAGAATTGAATTACAGTAGTTGCTTTTCTATGAAAGTACTCAATGTCTTATTAATGTATGAGACAAAGTCATAAATAGCATATAGACAGTATAAACATTAAAAACAATACAAATTCAATAAAAAATAACAGCAACAACACAAATACATATAAACACTGATTTAAAAATACAGTTTTTCATTTGTAAAAGAAGCCAGCATTGTCTTTTCCATGTTCGCTAGACAATGTGTTTCACAAGCTAGGTTATGCCAAAATAAAATCACTGGTCTGATGTCCTGCTGATCTCAAATGGCAAAGTTGTATGCAGCAGCCTAACTGTTGAATATGTTAGCCTCACATCATCTTCAGCCAGCATAGCTTTTACTAAACATCAGACAGTGAAAAGTT